AGGGAGAATTCTGTTGCAGTTTCCTTTGTAGGCTAGTTATCATTCATGAAAGTAAATAGCAATCTCATAAATATGTTTATCAATGGCAAATGTATAAGTTGACATAAAGATTTCACTTAAAGTGAGTGTATCACTTATCAATTTATTACCTCTCATCTCCAAATACCCCCTTCAATAATGGTCTGCAATCAACAGAATTCCTTTTAGAATTTCTCCCTTAGAGTGAGCAGGTCATCAATGTTCCCAGCCTCACTCTGAATAGCAACCTATCCTCACATGCCCAAGGACTGTGGGCAGACCCACTCTAGCCAGGCCAAACCTCCAAATGTCTCTGCTATCCCATGACTTGACCCACATCTTTTCCAAAGAGGTCTGAACTTCTTTCAACTTTATCCTTCCTGAGTTTTCTCACTCATTCCTAGACTACCACGTGGAGTTTCCTGATAGCTGAGGGTTACTACTTTATCACAATTAAGACTTCTTATATTAACTCTTAGGCTTCTGATTAACCTAGTGTGTGTTTTCTATCTCCTGCTTGGACCCAGACTGCCCAAGTGAGGACAGGCAGAAGGTGAAGCAGCTCTTTATCCCTTTACCAGTGGAAAGGAGGCACCTGACAGGAGAGATACCACGGCGTCCTGTGAGAAAGGTGGCAGACTATTTACAGGCCAGAATAGGGAAGATGACAATTCTCAGTGCACCAGATCCTGAGTGCTAAGTGGCCTATAGCGGGAGAGTCATTCTTGTTGTCTACTTCACTGTCATCGTAATTGTCTAATACAGGTTGGGGGTTTACAGTTGTTCAAGTACAGCACACTGTGCAAAGTTATCTGCTCTCAGTTCTCACAATATTTATATGAGGTAGCTACTATTTAACCCTGTCTTACAGATGACAAAACCGAGGCATAGAGAAGCTACTAACATGTCAAGGTGTTGCTACTTGGTCTGAAATGAATCTGATATAATTTGGGAGAGAGGAGTAGGTGATTGCACATGCAGGCGACTTTTCCAAGTTCAACACTTGGAATCCTGAATGCAAACTTTGTTAGTTCCATCTTCCCAGTCTTACCTGAATTTGACTCAGTTTGGACAAAGAAGCGGCCAGAATACCCACCCATTCCTCGCTAACTTAATTCTTGTGAGAGAATAAATGTAAATAAAACCCCAGGCCTTGCCATCAGAGTGCTCACAGTCTGGTTGAGGGGACCTAGAGAAACAGTAACTGGGTCTTTCTTTATAGAAAATATATTTTTACACAAACATATTCTATAGGATTAGTGATGAATTTGTAATTCTGGCAAATTATCAGTCTAGTCTAGTCATTTAGCCTAGTCATTTTCTCTTTGAGGAATATCAGCCACTAATTTATCCAAAGAAATGGTGTGGCAGGCAGTCCTTTAGCTTGTATTACCTGGGCAGTACAGATACTCACACACAGCCACAACCACAACCACAGGTCCTTATGATCTTTCTCGATAATCTTCTCCAAAACATTTACACTTATCTCCGTAATAGGAATCCAATGCAATTTCATTTTTCAAACTCTGAATGTTTAGATAATTTGCATGTTGAAAGGAAAATGGTCCCCTTGGGTGACACCATAGTATCTCTCTCATTTGCTAATTCACATGCCTCTTTCATTTCCTGGGCACAAATGTTACTGAAAGATTATCTCACAGCAGTATCTGTAGCGGACTAGTGAATGATTATACATTCAACTATATCGTCTTTAACATTTTTAAGCAACGTTAAGTATATAACTTTAAAATTTATAGGGAAAAAATCAGATTATAAATAACAAATCCTAGAGAAAACAATGTTTGTTATATTCCAATAAACATATTTCAGTATGTCAACAACATTTATAATTTTAAACAAATATAACCTAAACAACACTTAATACATTTTGTTGGGTGTGTTGTTTGTTGAATAAATAGGAAAATCATGAATATCAATATTTGTTATGTAAGGAAATTGGAAAAGCTATAGAACTTTTATTTCAGAGTTCAAGTCCTCTGAGCCTATTTAGTAAATGTTCTTCAAAATCTCTCTCGAGTTCTCAAGTGGCAATGGCAAACAACGTAAGTATTAACATAATTATAGAATTCAGTGCTATATCTGGACAGCATGCCGGGTTCCAGCAGGAAGGAAAGAAACAGTGTTTCATGCCTCACACCCACCTCTCAAAGCAAAACCCTTACAACACTACTTTACTTTCTACACCAAGCTAGCATGGCCAATTCAGGTCACGGCTGGCTCCTTCAGAGATGTCTGAGTAATCTCACCCAATCTCGTGGACTTTGTTTCTAAAACAAAGTAATGCAAGTTGGAAACCTCACTTCTGTTGTCTTTGAAGCTGGTTGACAGTTCTTTTTGGAAAGTGAGAAATAACCTTAAAATCCCAAAAGCTACAGGAAACGTAGTTAATACTAACAATAAAGTTACTTCAACCGCATCTCTGTCTGTAAACCAGAAGGTAGCTAATCTTACCGTTCATCTCACTCTTGTCACTTGGGGTTCCAGTTAAACACACTCCCTTGCCAACTATCATCTTCTACGTTCCATTTTTTCCATTTCTGTATTTATCTTGGCTTTTCCTCCATATTCCACCTTCTCATTAACTTCCTCTAAACCCTTCGAACTTTGCCCATTGGACACTGCTCCACACTTAAATAAATAAACAGAAATCAAACAAACCAAAAACTTCTAAATTCTCATTCACCGTCAGCCACTTAAACATATGACTATATATATATATATATATTTACATATTTACATACCATCTCTTTATACAAATTACAGCTTCTGTGAAGTCTTCAAATCCATTTAAGTTTCGACATCTTACTCAGGCCACAACTTCCTGTGCCGACAGTCATCTTGTTCCATTTCTGGTACAACGACTATCCTTCACTGTCATACAACTTTCCTGTCCCTTCCTCTGTAGAATGTTTGAGTTCCACTCTGGCTTCACCACCACTTCTAATCAATCTAGATACCAAGATCATGCACTAGAATCATTCTTATCAGAATTATTATCTCCAAGGGCCCCTTACCATGTGTTCTATGTGTCTATCAAAATTCTAGGCCTGAATATATTAAAAATCCACGTTTTTTTTTTTTTTATTCTTATAACAGGATTGCTGAACAGTGAAAAATCACAGAACAGAACCACTATAAACTCACATTCCTTATCTTCTGATGATTCATGGAACTGAATTGCTCTCTTTTGTAGTTCCTGGAAGCCCACTTCTCTCTCCTAAAACTCTCAGAAGGTGATGTCTCCTACTTAGACAAAATAGAGGCTGGAGGTGGAGGAAGTGAAAAAATTGCACTGATTTTTTTTTTCTCCTATATCACTTAAAAAATCCTGTCTTTGCCCGGATGCTATAAGGATCTATCTTTATTCCCTTTCTTCTAGTTCCAGTGGAAGAGGCAGTTTCTTCCAGTCATGGGCTAATCTTCCAGTGTATTTAAAATAAGCCCTTCATAATTCCTTTGGAAACTTATTAAAGCATTAGCTACCACTAGCTTCTCTCCAGATTGACCATCTTGTTATATTGGCTTTTACTACTCATCCTGTTGTTAGCACTTGAAATTAATTTCTCCTTACAATTGTTAAAATCTCTCGTCTCCCAGTTTTCAGTGACATCACACTCTATACCCTTTCTTTCTCTTCTTCAATCTGTGAGTTAATTGTGGTGAAAGTTCAGGATTCTCTCCTTCGGGGTGTTGATGGATGTTTCCAGGTCTTAGCAGGAAAGCGTGTGAGCCATCTTCTGAAGTTGCTGGGATTCTTCATTATACAAGTCTTGTTGGTAGGCAGAGACTGTCCTCTCTGGAATGTGGAACTTGCAGAAACTTGCTTTCTGAGCCTTCTTTACAACTAGCTTGCACACACAGGACACGAGCCTTTGACTCTGGAGCTTGTGAATCAAAGCAGCAGTGGGAGTGTTGAGAACCATTGTTGCAGGGCAGACGGGGCAGTGGAAACTCTGGCAGAAGGCAGCCCATGCCGGGGTGAAAATGGCGGCATCTGGTTTCAGTGGTAAGAGGGTTGACAAGATAAACCAGAGAGTCTACTCCTCGTCAGGGCTGGTGACAGCAGAGTTCTCAACAGTGGTCAAGAAAATTATGTTCTTATCCTCATAGATCTGAAACAGCAAAAAAAATAAGCAAACAAAGAAAATACTAAGTTTATATAGTGATAAATGCTAAGAAAATTTAAAACAGGGCAGTGTGATGGGAAGTATCAAGTGTATACATAGGAAGGTCTTCACTAAATGATCAAAAATCACCAAGCTGATGAATCATACTGGGTCAGAATGTTAACAGAATGAAACATAAACCATGAACATATCTTAGAAAGAGCCTTCCAGACAAGAGAAATGGTCAGTGAAGTCCTAATGCAGGGACAGGTGTGGCCATTCCCAAGGCAAGCAGGTGCAGCAGATTGGGTAAACACACTCTGAGGAAAGGTGGTGGGGTGGAGGCATGCGGTCACAGAGGTGGACAAGAGCCAGCACTTGGAGGTGTTTGGCTTTTATTTCATGTGTGATAGTAGTATTTGAAGTGTTTTCAGCAGGGAAGAAACATAATCTGGATTAATTTTCGAAAGTATCACTCTGGGTCCTGCATGGAGAAGAGACTTTGAGAAAATCAAATGGAGAAAAGAGAGAATACATGAGTTTTGGTGACTTGCCATTTAGTCTTGTTAACTAGGATGTGAGACGTGATCAGATTCAGGATACGTTTTCAAGGAAGAGCTGATAACACTTGATGATTGATAGCATATGTGGTATGAATTCTAGGTTTTAGACCTTAGCAATTAGATACATTTTAATGATGTTTATAAAATGGAAAGATGGGGTAAAGATAGAAGAGGATGCAATGAAGAATTTTCTTGTGAGCATGCTAATTTGGACATGCCTCTAAGACATCAAAAAGGAGAGCAGTGGGTCGAAGAATTTGGAATACAGTAGAGGTCGAGCCAGAAATGTAAACTTGGCAGCCACCCAGAGAGTAAATGCATACACAGAGTGGAATAGGACTAGCAACTTGAACATGACGAGACCAGGGTAAGGATGACCCAGTAAAGGAGATTGAGAAGGGGTGGAGAGAAGAGAAGAAAAACTAGGACTGTGGTGTCCTAGAAGCCATATGAACAAAGTATTTCAAGAAAGAGTGAATCATTAAGAATTGGTACAAAATTGACCATTGGATGTGGAAGGATGCAATGAATATAAATTGAGAATATTTTCTAAAGTGAGAGGTGATATTTTCCAGTTGATAAGCACACAGGCTTTGGAGACAGAATGTGAGTTGTTTAAATCCTGGGTCTGTTGATAATCAGCTGTGCCAGTTTATACTAGAATTCATGTTTGCTGATTTTATATCTAGTGTTCTTTCAACTTCATCATCACTAAATTCTTTAATCACATATCTTCTGCGCATCAATTGACAACAAAATATTAAAGCATGAACTATCTTTCTAAAGTTGGATGCTATATCACTGGAAAACTAAGAATAGTATTACATTAAGTCTAATACCATTAAAATCTATCCAAATGTTTAAATTATCCTTAGATTACACCATAACACACTGAAGAAAAATGCTAAAGAAAATCTGATTCTGTCAATAGTTGTTCAATGGGTTATATTTATAGACACTATCTAGTTACCTTAAATTGTTGAAAACTAAACACTTTGCCTCAGGACCAGGGAGAATAATAAAAATCTAATAAGACTTTGGTATAAAGGTTAACTTTTCAGAAAATAATAATCTAGCAACATCATGCATTAACGATTACTAATACATTGATGTAAATATGCAACGAGCACACATTTGTATAAAAGCATCCAGTTTTATAGGCATGTCAGTTTTAATATCGTAGTTCATCCTAACTGCCACTTTAAGTATTGGTTCAATATGAACTTGAGGAAGAATGCCATCTACAGAATCAATTACTGCATTAACCCCAAAAGGCATTAGGGTTGCCAACTTAAACCCTGACAGAAATAAACTGGTCAGAATTAATAAAGAGTTCCAGTAGAGAAATGTTCCCTTTTCTCAAACCTTTTTGTAGATTAACACCGAGATTCTTGGATGTGCACTAACATTACTGGTCGACTGTAGCATAGTGCCACTGCTTTCCCATACACCATTTACAACAAAAAAGTGATTAATGGGAAATTTATACTGCTGTTTATATATTGAGAATGTTACTTTGGTTCCCTGAAGTAATTAAATTTTATATAATTTATAATAACAGGTTCACTAACCTCATGAAATTTTTTATTTTTTGTAAAGGAAATCATTCAAATAGCAAGAGACACAAAACATACTCTGCTTCCTCATGATAGAACTTTCTTATTTTATTGCTTTTTAACCTTTTATTGATATATAATTCCTAAAGTAGAAGAAGCTAAAAACAATAAATTAAAACCATATGGCATGCAAAGCCTGAACTACTTATTCTTTGGCCCTTCACAGGAAAGGTTTGCCAATCTTGATATAAATGTATCAGGTTTAAATATTCCCTGTATGTTAGAACTTTTACTATTATATAAATCAAGCATTGCTGGTCGTTTTTGGCTAGCTGTTTAAGTTAGATATCCAGAAGTCAAATTGGGATTGCCGCATTAAATGCCACATTAAATGATTTCCTTTTGTGATGGCTTTTGATTTATATTCAAATTGTAATCCATAAAATTGATGCTTCCAATTGTTGTGTATTGCCGATTTTCCAATATTGGCCACACAAGTGATATTATTATTTTCAAAGAGTATTATTTTCACAAAATTGTTGCATATCATCCCAGTCAAATGTGGTATTTGTTTTCAGTATACTTTTTTCGTAAGTTGGGATGAAAATTATTTTATACAGTTATTTGTGGTTCTCTCCTAGACTTTGGCTAGTTTTCTTTACTGTGTTCTGGTTTTTTATCCCTATGATATCTAACAGTGCATTTTCCTTATTAGAAATAGTCAACCTCAAAATACAATCAAACCCAAAGGGAAGAATAAAATTCACAATATTAATCATATAGAGACATCTACACATAGCTTAGCTTTGTATTTTTGTGAATGCTTAGCTTTGCATTTTTAAACATGTACATGTAGACATGTACACACATGTTTTTTCAAAATAAATGAATATATACTAAAATATATTAACATTTTCATTTAAACATAAGTTTCTATAATATTATTATTAATAAATGCATAAAATTTTATCACCTGGGTCCAACAAAATTCCTGTTGTTCATTCAAGATGTTTGTTTTTATTTTTTGCTATTTAAAACAAATGTCTTTAAAAATATGTGACCATCTATGTCATAATTATGATTTGTCTACTGGTTTAAATTGCAAGAGTTGGGATTATTGCCATATTTATCGATTACTTATCTCACCTTTTCTCTACCAATTTTTTCATTTAATAATTTAAAAAAATATGTCAAATTGTCTTTCAGAGTGATATATAAATTAGTGTATGAACTTATTAACAGTTTACGAGAATGGTCTCTTGATCTAGGTATTCTTTTTTATGGAACTATTATCTTTCCTTTTAAAAATAATGTATTTTTGTTATTTGATAATGACTTGTTTTTGTATTTATATCATAATATTTTGAATATTCTTGTTTTATTTTATTTTCCCTGACTTGATAATAAATAAACCATCTAATTTCTATTTGTATTTTTTATAACAATGAGGTATATCTTTCTCATATTTTATGTGTTTTGTTAATGGATTTTCATATCATTTGCCTATTTTGCTTTTACGTTATAGTTGTCCTTTTATCTGTATATGCACTAGTTTCATAATGGAGATAGTAAAATTATGGATCATATATACAAACATTCTTTATTTAGTCTAACAGGTATGGCTCCATTTAAAAAAATCTCTTATTGCTTTAATACTACTATGCATTATTTTTAGACAGAGGCAGCATTGGACTGTGGTGTAAATTTTTATATTTTACTGGATTTTGGATTTTTGAGCAAAGAGACTATTTAATTATTTTTCCCATTTTTCTTTGCCCATTTCTAATATGTAGGACTTATTTTTATATTATGGGTATTAATTCTTATCAATAACATGTGCTGAAAATATCCTACTCAACTCTGTACTTTTCACTCCCTAAAATGTATATTGAGTGAACAGAAGTCCTTGCTATGAATATAGTCAAGTGTACCATGTGTCAGTGTTTTCTTTGTATGTTAGTACATTTTTTTTGTCTTGTTTAAGAAATACTTTCTTACAAGAATTCGGGAAGATAATCATGTTCTATTGTATTCTGACAGTCATATTATCAGCCACCACAGGTATTTCTTTAACTTACTTGAAATTGATTTTTGTGTATGCTGTGAAAAAGGGGACCTGCTTCTCACCGATGCCTGTTTGTCCCACATCATTTATTGAAATATCTTTCCCACTGTATTACCCAGGCTGCACACAGGACACAAGGTGAGAGTGGTGATGTTAATTGAGAATGACAAAAGAAAATTTCATGCGATGCTGGATGCATCTTCACCTGAGTTGTGGTCACATGGATGTATACTTATATAGTCAGTCATTGCATACATTTAAAATTTATTCACTATACACAGTTACCACCTGTCTGTTACACATGGAGATGAAGAGTAAATAAAGTAAAATTATGTGACTATTTCTAAGTGGTTTGCCAAATACCCAGCACACCCACTGTCTTGAATTCACTCTGTCTTAAGTCAAGCAACAAAATGTGGTTATGGAATTTTTTCAAATAAAAATAATGAATATCAATAATTTTCACTATGATGTTTGCCATAATTCATGTTGATAACAAGTCCCATTCATATTGCAGATTTTCAATTAAAGATAATACTTTCTCCTATTCTCTTCCTTTAAATCCAAGAGACAATGAGAAGAATAAAAAGAACTTCTTCAATTAAATTAGAATAGAGCTATACCTTAAATCCTGATATGTAAGAGAGGAAGCAAGTATCAGATTTATTTTTCTACAGGGGTCATGAGTGTGAGTGTTTTTCTAAAAAAGGATGTAGAGTCTATAGGATCCATCAAGCAATGCATTACTTGAGATGGAAAAGTCTGGGTAGGTAGGAGAATGCTGGTTCCTTGTATGAGGAAGTGTTGTGGAGATGCATCATTTTTGCTGTCAGTACAATGCTAAAGGAGAAATAGCAAGAACCATATCAGACAGCCACTGGTCCTCATTGCCCTGAAGCAAAGTTACTATTTAATCACTCCTAAAAAGCAACACACAGAGCTTCAGGGTGAGTAAGGGAACTCCCTGTGGCCTGAATGGAGGCATAGCCCTAGGCAGACAAATAATGGGAAATGTTCAGAGAAAATTGATCAAAATCCAGACAGACAGCTGAAGTCCTAACCAAAGCATGCTCCACTCTGCCTCTCTTCCCCCGCCCACACACTATGCTTTAATGGGCATTCAGCTAGGGAAACACAATGCTTGTTAAAAGATGAGTAATGCCTTGAAAAGAACCTTTGAATGATAATATAACCAACCAAGTCAAGTAGTGGAAATGAGGAAAATAGTTGGATGACTATTTTCAAAGTCAGTTTTCAAAGTAGGAAAGTAATACATATTATTAAAAAATATAAGTAAAGATCATTTTATAACATATATGAAGATTAATATAAAACAAAAAATCCAACCATTGATATTTTAATCTTTCATAGGAGAAACATGACAGAAAAAGCATAGTTCACAAAAAATATAAAAATACAAAGAAAGTTATTATAATAGAAGGGATTACATAAAATGCAATGACAAAAACTAAGCATTCAATACAAGTGTGTGTAAATCATGAAAATCTGTTGTTTAAAATCTATTTAATTTGAAATAACAAATAATGGTAAAAGAGACAAATTAATTAAAAACTGAATGTAACAACTAAAAGAGTACAATTTCTGCTTCTTTATAGATAAGTAATACAGATAGCGTTAGCTATCTTGATGAAATATGAAAGGGGATTATAATTTCATAAAAACTGAGAATAGGCAAATAACCACAGGACCAGAAGAAATTCAAATATGGATATTAAATATGTTGAT